AGAGAGAGAGAGAGAGAGAGAGAGAGAGAATATGCAGGCAAGGACACCCAACTGGGCAGTGGGCGCCAACTGGGAGCCACTGGGAGAGAGATGGAGCTAAGAGGAGACAAAGTGGAGAGGCAGAGCCAAGACAGACCGACAGCGCAGAGCGAGAGACCGAGCGCCCAGGCGTTGGGGGAGGTGGGTCAACAGACAAACAGGCGGAGGCTAGAAAACAAAACCACACGGACGACGTGGGGAGCTGGGAGGCTGGGTTACAAAGGGCAAGACTGAGCTGAAGACAAATCCGGGAGAGAGAAAGACGGCGTCGGGAGAGAGAAAGACGGCGTGGGGGCTGGCAGTGGTTACCAGGAGAGGAGACTCAGGCGTTTGGAGGCAGAAATAGGGTCCGATCTTAGGGCAGAGGAAGGGGAGGGACAGCCAGCCAGGAAAAGGCGAGCCAAGCATCCATCAGCAAAAGATGAGAGGAAGACAGGTGCACGGAGGTCCGGGCTCGTGAACATCTCCCGGGAGAGTCTACGTCTCAGAGAAGAAGCAGGGCTGGTGTTTTTGCATTCACCTGTCCTGAGCAATTTCACAGGGCCTTTACAAGGAGCAGAGGGGTGGGGGTGGGTTGAGGGGAGGAGGGGGGAAGGGTTCCTGATGGGTCATTAGGGAGGACCAGGGACCCCAGGCTCTCTCCCCTGTGGCCCTGTCAGGGGAGAGGGCCAATGAGAGAGGAGGGCTTGAGCCTGGAGGCAGGTGGGGCTGAGAGAGAGGGGTGGGGGGACGCCAGCCAGACCCAGAAGCAGGCTCCCCTATGTAGTGGGGGGACAGAGTGGGAAATGATTCACCACAGATTGGTCAATCAGCCTGTGATTGACCAATCACTTTGGGGACTCTCCACATTGGAAAGAGACATCTTGTGTGACACACACACACACAAACACACACACACACACACACACAGAGAGACATACACACACACAGAGACAGAGAGACACACACACATACACACACACACACAGGTATGGAGAGTGTGTGAATGCAACCACAGCCCATGCAAGACAGGTTAGAGACAGACCGGAGGGAGGTTAATGAGCCTGGACTGGGGTCAAGGAGAGGCGAGGGACAGGTCTGCCACAGTCTGCCATGGGCAGGCGAACCCAGGGGCGCAGTCTGGGGCACCAGGGGCCAAGTCCCTCCACCGGAGGCATCCCCTCACCATAGCCTTTGAAGAGCCAGTCAAAGGTGGCCTGCTCGCCTCTCCCGCTGAATTCCTCCGCCTGGTCTATCAGTGCCTCCTTCACAGCATCATATCCACAGAGCACGACCACACGCCGGTGCCCCATGTAGACGGTGAACACGGAACCGTAGCGCTCCTTGAGCTGGTGGAGGTGGGTTGTGAGGATGGGGGGCGGGCGTTAGGGAGCGGGGCCTCTACCTCTGTCTGGACAGGCCCTGCCCTGAGGTGCTATGGCCTGGCATTCAC